ACATATTGATCTACACAATCAGTGCTACCGTTAATGAAGCGTTGCTAAAAATCTAGGACCGTCAACAATTTTGTTAATTTACTTAGTGGCTGTTGACTCTACATACCCCATTAATTATCATCCCGCAGCAGTCCACCGCTGGACACAGGCAATGTACTGCAGTTATCCTTGTTTTGGATTGTACTTAACCATCTTCTACTAGCAACCATTCCCAAATCATTATCAAAAAAATTATATCACGAACTTTGGATACAAAATGAAAAATGGATCATCTTTTAATCATCTTCGTGTAATTCATCTTTTCTATGCAATTGTTCAATTTACTTTTTTTAAGGGTAAATTACACAGTTGATATTAATTTCGACTTGCTTTTTTTGACCCATCCAATTTAATTGCCTCCACTCGTTTCTGAGAAGTAGGGTCTCAACAAACAGACATTAAAGTGATCGTATAGGGATCCTTGTATATTTTTAAGTTCACAAATATGGAAGATTCTGATCCTGGAAATGGTTTTATAATGTCAGCTTCAAAGCTTATACAATACAAATTAAATAAACGTACATGTACATAATGTATACAATACGCCTGACCATGTAATTTTATATTCAGTCTACGTAATATCTCATTATTTTGTCATTTTTAGTGGTACAGTATGAACACGTATTAATTACAGTAATTTGCTATAATTACGGAGGGCCGCGGTCACTCCACGATACAACGCGATTACGATCGTAATGTGTATAGTTGAGTCTGTTCTGACACATATATTATGAAACTTAGCTATGAAGAAAACCAGCAAGGTTTGTAGACATGTTCCGGGACTTGGAGCAGCTTATTATAGAGAGGGAATATGGAAATCTAATTGGAAGGTGTTGCAAAGTCACGGAAATGGGATAAAGAGCCTAGAAAAAAACAAGCATTAATTTGGTGATTGATCAAGCGTTCCAATGAACATTCTACTTGAAACGGGCGTTGTATTCATATAACGCGTAAAATATAACATTTGTGTTTTATAACGCTACGCTCACGCACCATCTCACGCGCTGTATATAGTACTTGCATATGACCTAGGTAGGTGTTCGTGTGCGTATAGATGCGGGTTATTAACATCCAAGTGGTAAAATGAATTAAAATAGATTTCGACATGAAGAAAAAAATGTAACGAATTGTCAAAAATCATGGAACAAGCGTTGTCATTATGGTGCTGGTGGCGACAGTACGACACTGTTACTGAGTTTTGTGTAGTGTCAGTGAGTAGTTTATTGAGTTTCAACTAAATAAATTGCAATAGAGTAATGATTTTGTGTTATTGTCACGATATCAGTACAACTTCGTATTGTTCAATTATGGAGGCACAAAAACAACTAAAATTCTTAACTTGACTGTAAGAACAAAAAATAATATAAAACAGTTCGTATCGATTTCTACAATTATGATGGTTTATAGGTACTTTTATATAACAATTACATAACTCTTTTCTGAGTTTCCTTTTGAATATATATCACTTACTAGTGGACGCCCGCGACTTCGTCCGCGTGGAAGTCGGTATCCCGTGGGAGTGAGAAGTTTTCCCAGTAAAAAGTACCCTATGTGTTATTCTGATGTATAACCTATATTGCTGTAAAGTTTTATCCAAATCCGTCCAGTAGTTTTTTCGTGAAAGAGTAACAAACATCCATACATCCATACTTACAAACTTTCGCCTTTATAATATTAATAGGATTTATAACATATTAACTTTAAACATATTTGATTTTAACAGACTACTTAAATATTTTTTTAATTTAAATCTATTGTTATGTATTACATGTACTGGTAGAAGAATTTTCACGAATTGACTTCATAAACAGCATACGGCGTTACCCAAACTGCAAATTACAAAAATTTAATAATAAAAAAGACGTTATAAATAGGACACAATAAACGGTGTGCTGCGACGCACCGTTACAAACTTTGCAAATGAAAACAATTGCAACTTTTTTTTAATTACCGGCGGCGGCATGGTAACACCGTACTTTAACCGGTCCGGTCATAAATTCACAACCGGTTTTGTTGCCGAAGAAAGTTTGACTTAATTAAAAGAACAAAATGTTGGAAAAAAGTGAAAGTAACCGAGGGGGGGATTGTCCACTTTGAAATTATCAGTCGACCGCAGACTAACAGTTTATTTATTAAAGTGAGGGAAAAACTTATCTCAGTTATTACTAACTAATTTTTAGTTTGCATAATATCAATACTAACTCAAATCTGTTAAAATACTTTTTAACTAGATCTGAAAGAATTCTTATATATTATAAATAGTTTAAATTAAGTGACAGGCTTTTCTGTACTTTGCAGAAACCATGTTTAAGCAACATTATAAAAATCCAAGGTTGGAATTTAATGAATATTCATTGCTCATTAAGTACTCTACATAATAATGTCAATTTTTTTGCCTCAAAAATGTATAATAACAATTCTTAAATCTAGAAAACTGATCAGTGTTGTGGTATGTATGTATGTGGGCAGCCTTAGCTCACCGGGGGCAGGTGGGTGGCGGAGGCGTATCGATTCATCGCCTTCGCCGTTGAAAAAATAGGTTGATTAAAGGTGTACGCTCACAACCTCACAACCATCTATGGTGTACGCTAACACCCGCCGGGAGATGATTTAGCGGCCGTTCAAAGTCTGCATAAACAAACTAATGTTATTTGTATTGGTGACCAAACATCACCAAGCATTTATCAGACATTATTATCACAAATTATTTGCAGATTTTTTGCTGTCACATTTTTCATATCAATATGAGTTCTATTTATATTCTGCAAATGTTACATGTATCAAAATTTTAAATTAAATTCACAATGTCAATAAATTCAAAAATATCAAAGACATTTAACTGGAAACTACACGATATACCGGTGTTTTTAAACAAATTTTAAAATAATAATAATAACACTTTATCGTCAACACCACAGATATCTTCATAAACATACCAAACTAAACAATACATCAAAGTGTAACAAATGGCGATCTAATTGCTGAAACTTATTTCTACCAAACAACCTTTGAATGGAGAGAAATGTTAATTTACAGTAGGCAATTCCGAATAAATAATTAAAGCATAATAATAATAAATACCAGAAGTTGACAAATACAATATACCTTACTTACAGAAATACATATGTCATCCTATTAATATTATAAATGTGAAAGTTTCTTTGTTTGGATGTTTGTACGTCAATCACGCCGAAACTACTGAACGGATTTTGATGAAATTTGGTATACAGATGGGGTGTTAGCTGACTTAGATAATAGGATACTTTTTATCCCACTAAACATTTCCCTAGGGTCCACGCGGGCGAAGCCGCTGGCGAAAGCTAGTAATATATAAATACATAAAATATGATACACACAAAGACTAATGATATGAAGAAGGGGTTATTAGCAGTGAAACTGACATATTATATTTTGTACCATATCTTTGAAGATTGAGCGAGTCTGAAAAGAATTTCAAAAATATTTCGTTTAATTATAATAAAGTTATAAAAGTGGCACCCTCAGCGACATTGGAAGTTGTCTAGGTGGCCGGGGAGCTGCGGGCGGCGTTCTGTTGATTCCAACCGCCTCCTGAATGAATTATAATTTCCCGACTAGTGACATAATTTATTCAGGTAAGACGCTCCCCTCTGTGCTATCTCACTGGTTCACGGAGCATTGGAGTTTTACCTTTTGATGTGAAGTTACTGTATAAGATATTACAAAGAGAAAACGGCCCTCGATGAGTTTTATTGCCATTTATTTTCGGTATTTGTCGACAACCTTTAGTCAACAGAATTAATGATGATGGAGATTTTTCATTGATAAACTTTATACTACTGTAATATTTTCAATGCGCAACAATTAACACGACATGGGATAGTATTAAGTTTATTCTATAGTATGACTAGAAGACGAAGTCGAAGAAGCTTTAGATACAGCTGATCAAACTAGAGAAAAGCAATAACGAATTACGAATTCAAAGACGATTCTTTATACACTTTATAAACGCATATACATAAAATTAAAAATAAAACTCATTATAGTACCGCTATCTTTTTTTATTCATTAAACTAGTCTATAGTTCTAGGCTGAATATGAAAAAAAGGAGCACGCATGCGCAGTTCAAACTGTGAAAAAAATGGCCCACGCATAAATTACTTCCTTGTAACCTACCTACTTTGTGTAATTTAAATTTTAAGTGAAGATATAGTAGTGTATGAAACTGCATAAAACTTAGGTATTAAAACACTCGAGTCAACCTATTATCGCATTCGGCTTCGCCTCATGCATGATAAACAGACTCTCGTGTTTTAATACCCCTTCTTATATGACAGTTGCATAAACTACTATTCCTGTTTGACTTTATCGAGAGTCTCTCTTAAAAACATTGGTATCTTCTTAACTACTAAGTAACCAATGACGGGAACTGTTGCTGTTCAGTTTACTCACAACGATGTTGCGGCAGTTGGCAGCACTTGTTTGCCATACGTCACGCGACAGACGCTAACATGTTTGCGGCAGCCAACAACGGAACACTACTAACACTAAAGGAATTTAGCGGCTATTAACAAAAGTTAAGCGCGACCGCACTACTGCCGCCGCCCCCGCCGCCCCCGCCGCCGCCGTTGCCGCTCACGGACCGTTAGCTCGAAATTTGGCCTTAGACAACAAGTTATTCGTCTTCCTTTGTGGCATGTTGTGCACAAAGCGTCATAAACTGATATAGTACAGCTCTTATACCCCGCGAAATAAGAACTGTGGAGGCGGCATTAATCTGGAATTGTTATTCAATTACTCTGTGCTGAGAACATAAACAAATGCATGGTTGAGTACTGGTTTTAAATAAAAAATCCATAATGGCATCTAAAATGAGATGTATGAGTACTATAGATACTAGAGAATATTTAAAATGCTGTAAATGTATATAAATATTCGATCTGGATTGTGCTAATGTGTCAACTGCTCGGTTTCGTAATACAATGAACAAAGAACACAAAAACAAGTGGACATGTCAAGAATGTGAAATTAGGAATCCAAAAGTGGGAAACACAAATACACAAGATCTGCAACATGATAGTAATATAGTTACGGCCGACGACAATTGTGATGAGGCAATTAATGTTACCCTTCGGAGTAAAAATCGGTCTCCTTCCAAACGTGATACTACTACTGCTGAGTTTTCTGATCGTTGTGGACATTTATCCGTTAAGGATCAGGCTAGCGAAGTGATCAAGGAACTTAGGCCATCAATGTTTAAGGGAATTCTAAAGTCTAAGCTTGCCACTATTAAACATGATCTCCAGGAACTTACTAATACCGTTTCATTTCTTAGCGGACAGTATGATGATATGAATCAGCCGATTGTGAAGCTGACTACAGATAATAATACTTTAAAGGCGGACAACAGCAAACTAAAAGCTACTATTGTGGACGTTACTGAGAGATTGAATAATGTAATCAAAAAAATTCTGACTCTGCACATATATATGTTAAGAACCATGATAACATACGACTGATTCAGTAGTTTATTGTAATCCTTTTCTTTTATTCTTTAGTATGAAATAATGAATTGGCTTAATTTTATAGCCAAAATGCTCGATTGAATTTATTATCAAAATACCCGTGGTATGAATACTAAAACCCACGTCAATTACAACAATATTTTGTGTAACAATTTTGATGTGATTTGTGTCTGTGAAACATGGTTAAATGATTCAGTTCTATCTTCAGAATTATTTGATAATAGGTATGTTGTTGTGCGTAGAGACAGGGATGTTAAGTTTCTTGAGAGATTTGATAAGAGGCATGGTGGCGGAGTATTGATCGCAGTATCTAAAAACTTACACTACTGGATTGGCAGACCGGGTATGTGGAGGATCTATGGGTTCAGATAACGCTGAAAAATAGAACAACGGTGAATACTTGTATAGTTTATTTGCCTGATTATGTACCTGGTGATATTTTTCATAGTTTCATCAATAATTGTGAGCGTGGGTTGACTCAATATCCTGATCAAATTACCTGCATTCTGGGTGATTTCAACTTAACTGGCCATAAATGGTCTTTGGAAAACTAAAACAGGTGGATTGGGATTATCAGGGAACTCTACAAAAGAACAAAAGAGTCACTATTGATATCCCTAAACATATGTATATAGATGGACAGGTTGCCGATTGTGGTGCACAAGTTGTGGATATATAATCGCAAGGTATTTTTATTCAGTTTATGGTCCCGATTCAAAACCTTATTATCATCCTGAATTTAAATCAACTAGTTTTTCACTTTGCGGTATACATATAGATGAGAAACAGGTTTTAAAACTTTTAAAACGAAATTATATCACAGGTATTCATGGTAGTCTTCATCGATGGTTTACTTCATATCTCTTGAAACGTGCACGGCTTATAACACTTAATGGTTTCAGTGCTGTATATGGCTTCATCTGGTATTTCCCAGGTATCTAATTTGGGTCCCCTATTATTCCTAATATTTATCAATGATTTGTTAAATGAATTTGATAGTAATTGTTTGGCTCATGCGGATGATATTAAAATTTCTAGACAGATTAAAAGCATTAATTATTGCATTTCTTTACTAAATAACATTGATATATTGCTACTTTGGTGTAATAAAATGTGTATGTCTCTTAATAATAATAAACGTCAAATAATCAGTTACACAAAAAATAAGCATAGCATTGTGCACGATTATGAGATGTACGGAATAGTCCTGAATCGAGTAAATCTATGGTATTCTAACTAAACTATCAACCTGACGGTTATGAAAAATATATATTTATTTAGGTATAACACGAAGTAGCTCTCGGAATATGTCTTATTTTATATGCATATAATGATAAACAAATTCTATACGCGTTCGTAGAATATCAAGTGCGTAGGATACCTAACAAAGGAAACTTTCTGTGTACCCATTCAAAGTTCTGGTGAATTGCCTGAATATTGATACACAAGGAGGGACCAGGTGTGCCGGCTCTGGGCACACGTCAATGGATACTCGAACATAAACACCAGACCCAAGAAAACATACCATAGAAATGGAAACAATAAACGGTACATACCTAGTTACTAGATGAAAATAGATACCTTGTACCAGATTACTATTAAATAAACACTATACGCTACATATAATAATGCTCAAATACCAACTCGCGACATAGGTTAGCAAATTTTTTTTTTCATAAGTTCATAATCGTTACTTTTAGCAGTTCCATAATTCCGTTTACTTACGTACGGTACGGTACGGTACGATATCGGATTCAAGATGATTGTGCAAAATAAAATAAAGTCTAAATAATGAGTAACTTATAACGAAACAAATATGTAGTGTCTAATCACAACAAAAGCAAAGTTTAAAAAATTAACCCTTCATTTTTTTAAAAATGTATATAATTATATTTAAATAATGAAATAGATACAAATAGAATTATATATATTAAAAAATAAATATTAGCTTGTATTGGGAGTGATGCGGATGTAATTCGACAATTTTACAGTAATAGTTTACGAGTGATTGACAAAAACTCATAATATTTTGCGCAAGACTAAGCACTTAGTAAGTATCTCTCGCTGGCTGATCTGCTAAATTCGTGTCGTTTCATCTAAATATTTATGCGCAGTTTTAACAGAAATAAAAACATAGTAAAGAAGTTTATTATGTCTTTATATCGCTGAGCGCAGTGCGTTACTGCCGTTACTGCCAACTGCACTGTTACTACTGCACCGCCTCTTAACTTACTGCCGCTCGCTACACAGTGTACACAAAGCACAGTGTATTAACTAGCTCGCTGTATGGTCACATATGCACTTTTAAAAGTGAATGTAACGTATACTATGCACGATTGTCAAATAAATGATTACACTATTCTAATGAAAAGAAACACAGATACGTATAGAGGATACTGCGGCTGTTACTAAATATTTAGTTTTAGTATACTGCATATGCATAATTCAAATAGTATTGCATAATTCATATTTTAGTTCTTTAAATGTTGTACGAAGCAGCGTCCCGAAACAAGTTATATGGGTCATTGATATTGCTAAACCAAAAATGACATTATAGTAAAAGAAATATGAATATCACGTTTCTAAAATATTAACGTTTATGTTCCGTTGTCCGCGAGTGTCCGTTGAAGATTAAATTTACATTTTAAGATTAAAAATTATATCTCATGGTAACAGGGAGCGCGTGTAATGTGTACGTGTACTGTTACGTTGCTGCAACTATCATTTAGGTAAATTTAAAGAGTTGGCAACAAAGATGAGTTTTCCAAATAAATTCATCCTTAACATTGTAGGTATATCAAGTTCAGTGCGAGCTGCAAAACCTTGCATGTGGCTCGTAAACCGTCTACATAAACATGAGTGAGCGCGGCTCTTACATGCACAGCTCGGGTCAAACGAGCAATTCCTTTAATATGTTAAAACATTAACCTCATGTGTTACTTTAACAAATATGTTCGAGCCACTCCACTTGCGCCGCTACAATACAATAAAGGTCGAGTGGTGTATCTCTTTTAAAGAGCCCGATTATAAGTTATGTGATGTCGAAAAAAAATTATCTGTTTCATAAATAAACAACAGCTGATTATATTCGGGATTCTAGCGGAGATGTGATAGCACAAATAAAGTAAGATGTACAATAAATATACTAAGTACTGTGAGATATACAACGAAAATCAGCACACATAAGTAAAATATATACAATTTTGCATCACAGGTCAATATACCTACAGAGTCAGATGACTTAAATATTTCCCTAATTAGTTTAATCAAATAGATCACCTTTCTCTTTAGGACTGTAAGCTTGCAACTAACAATAATTATGCTTAAATAACTATCATAACGTACGGCTCAAGAAAGTCGTGTGTGAAATTTCTGTACGCAGTATTATACAGTGTGTTAAAGGCTGTTAACATTAATCAGACGACACGCACCTCGGGAACTTGCTCGAGTCATCAACGCCTTAATCGCGCCTATTTATATGAACTCGCGGAACCCCTACCCCCCGCCAACTTACCCTCTACTCCTCCTCCTCCACGCTTTGAATTTCGAAATCTCTGAAAAGCTATAGATAGGGTATCATACTCGCGATTAATAATCCCATATATGTACAAAACAAAAGCATGAATTCAGTTAATCATTATCTAATGATGGAACTGATAATTTAATCAGCCCTTAACGATCAAAAAATATATTTATGTGAACTCAAATAAAAAATCAAACACTCAAATAAATAATATCACCAACTAAGATAATGGAACAGTCTTAACGCTGGAAAGTATAATATGAAATTATCCTCGTTTGCCTCCCCCCAGCTGCCGCCCCGAGGCGCTCGTACAATAAGGAGGATTCGTGTCGTAAATACTTCATGAAGTTTATGCAGTAAACATTTTACGTTCTTATTCACCGCGACAATCGGCAGCCCGCCATCAAAGCGTACCAAACAAAAGTCGTAGCGTCGTAGTCGTACCGTAGCAGTTTCGTAGCAGCTAAAATCATAACACACAATGTTTCACTAGGAGCGTTTACAATTTACTTTGTTTTGATTTTACCTCTAAGAAGAGTATTTCTGTTCACATTTTTATGTGTATTTATGTATATTCTGTTTATGTGAATTGTGTAATCACATTATGGTTATGGTATACTTTTCTACTATTCCCTTTATGGCTCGAATTCTTGACATTTTTTAACTATATAACTATTCAATAGAGAAAAAAAATCCCCTGATATTTGTAATAATTTTACTTATCGCTAATCCGCAACTGTGTGTAATGTTAAATATCGTTTCAATAATATTTCATTGGGATGTTATGGATACAGAAATAATAAAAACTCCTTTGAAGTCAAGTAAATTAACTTCGTATTTTTTATCGAGACTTCTCTTCCAAGACACGTAACCCTGTCCTATACACCAAACATGTATTAAAGTTGTTTGTCCGTTGAAAATACGCCACTGAAATTTGATTATGTTAATATAAACAAAGTGCATCCAGTAGATTAATCTACTTCAAAAAGTCTTAATATACTGGAAACAGAAAAACAATACCACATTTTTTTTTTAACTTAAATGAAATCGAAACACAAAAAAAATACAATATCATTTTTAAATATAATCATCAAAATTACATACTTATTAAATTGATATCCACATTGCTTTTAAAGTCGGTTGAAAACGTATAAGTCAAATTGATAACCTCTTTTTTGAAGTTAGTTAACAGAAACTTACTCCTTTTATAAGTCGGTTAAACTTTAATAGTTTATATCTTCAAAACTATCGAACCGATTTTGATGAAATTTGTAGTGTTCCCTAAGTTGAAAGCTACGTCTAGTTTGCGAGACATTTTTGGACAAACATACATTCACACATCTATTAAATTTAGCACACGTGTTTGGAAGCCCACACATACCAATATTTATGATTATACCGCATTCTAACGAATTAACTTATATACACCTCGAATTGATAACCTCATTTTTTAAATAGGTTAATAACAACG